TGTAGGTGATTTGTGAAGGGAGTACAGGTCCTTCTAAACGGGTGGTTTTATGTTCGTAACTAAGGTGAGATTACTTCCATTTTACCCGGACGTGGGCCGTTGGTCGATACCCCTGCGATTCGAACACCTTTATTCCTTCCATATCCATATGCTCCGTGGTGCTGGTATATTTTCCTACATGACTGGGTGATTTTGTTCGGGCAAATGTGGGTAAATATTCCATACAGCATATGGGATATCCCAATTTTTCTGGTTTATATTTCCATTGCCTGTTGAAGTTCCAGCTCTGAACCGACGCAACAAGCCATGCCTTGCGAGGTGTCGAGGATTCGAAACGAGAAGAAGAAGAAGAAGAAGAAGGCGCGCTGCGTCGATATGGGATGTTTCGATATGGATTTTCAGTGTGACCCATGGCGCCTTATGGTGTATTTACGGTGATACAACAGGGATTGCAGCAAAAGTCTAGGATTTAACAAAGATTTATTATAGATGATATGTAACCCATGGAGATGAGGATGTCAAAAATGGAGTTGTTGGTGAGACGTTGGTTGATGAAAAACGCGTCATATACAATCATATATATATATATGGTTGGTGGTTTCAAACATTTTTAATTTTCCATAATATATGGGATAATCCTTCCCATTGACTAATATTTTTCAGAGGGGTTGAAGCCACCAACCAGATCTAATATATATATATATATATTGGCCTTGGGGCCTGCACTGCCTTGAGACCCTGACCCATGTCTTGGAGGGTCTTGCAACAGATCTCTTGGAGGGGCAAAGAACCGAATAGTGACAGAATAATCATGAACAATATGTATATACTTTTATAGTACTTACTTGTATATATATATATATTTATACAATTTTATACACATGTTATAGAAGTAATACTGGTAGATCCGTTTTTTACTGGTAGATCCGTTTTTTGGGGGGTGCAAGATGGACCCAATCAAAGTATTGTTGATTCCTCGAGTTTTCATCTAGCACAGGGAAGCCCAAAGGTCAGTACCCAGTTGATCGCTGGTTGACAGTACTGTAAAAGGGAAGTGAAATGGCAAAGAAACCAAACCGCAAAAGTTAACATATAATATCTTAATTATAAATATTTATACATATTGTTTATATATATATAATATTGTATGTATAACATATAAATATATATATAGATACCCAGTACAAACAATCCTTCATAGTGGATGATCATACCCGATATGTTTTGTGTTTTGACCATTGTACATATTGTACATATTGTGATTTCAGCGATTCCATGTTATGCCAACCATTACAAACCCAAATCTGTGTCATAGACCATTCCAGATTCTTCAAGACCATTCTGCAGACCCTAGATTCCCTAGATAGCTACGTTGGTTTCTAACTAACTTGGATGTAGCTTGGAATATTTCAATGTAGTTGGCTGGATGTTTTTTTTTAAATAACCCATATAAACCAACCCCTGGGGGCCAAACCCCCTGAGGGATTTCATTCCAGGGCAGAAGCCGGCCGTGTTCCTGTGTTCCAGATGGGAATTCACGGAGAAGCCAAGGTTTTTCAGCAACCAAAGGTTGGTTGTTTCAAGTCTTACTGGTGCGTTTTACGTAGGGAATGGATGGGTTGCTGGGGGTTGCTGGGGGTTGCTGGGGGTTGCTGGGGGTTGCTGGGCTGATTATTACTAGTGATGATTGGGATCGTTCCCGAAAATTCCCTGCGTTCAGCACCACTATTTTTTTTTTCAAGTTGGTTCCTCTTCGGGAAGGATCTACATTCATGGTGGATTTGGTCCATATCGAATATGCTTACTGGACTCGGGCCGCCTCGGAAGTGTGAACCCACTTTTCCGAGTACCCCCTCGAGGGTATTCCAGCCTGGCATCTGGTGAATCAGTATCAACCCAGCAAATGAATGCAAATTGGAATTATTGTTATGCATCAACAACTTCATTTTCATATTGCGGTTTGGGAAACATGCACAGAGTACCACTGCACCCCCACTAAGGTCTTTTTTAAAGTTTTCACAGTCGTTGAGACGTCCTCCGACTGTTGCAACTATGGCTCAAGGGCCAATCAACTGACTGGCTCAATTTACCGAGCCCAACTTGGAGTGAAAAAGTGCACTTGCATCTGCCTCTTGGTGGGGACCTCCGGGAAGGGTCTCGGTCATAGTCTGAAACCCGTGGGTTATGAGCCCAACCCCAACGCTGCCTTGAAGCAATGTCGAGCAGCGACTTCACTCAGCGTCGTCGACAAGAACGCCAAGTTCAAGCGGCTGCTCATGCTGAAGAAGTACAACATGGGACCCATGGACATGGAAAAGAAGAACGCGCGGAAACGGCAGACCAAATGCTGGACCGGCTTCTGGAGGAGATGGACGCACCTGGACAAGCACATGGGGAAAGAACAGGGACAAGATCATCAGACTCAACCCGAAGATCACTGATGGAAGGGGAAGTTGGAGAAAGTGTGATGGCACTGACCGGTGCTGGGGGAAGTGGAGCCCTAGTGCAGGTTGCGGCGGTCCGGGCTGGAGCGGGCGAACGAATCGCCCAGAATCCGGCTGTTGCGGAAGAAGTCGCAAGACCAGTGTCCTTACCACCTGAAGAACCTCCTGGACTTGAAGTGGTACGAGGAAATGGGAGTGGCGGTCTG